CAAGCTATAGCTCAGGATGCCTGGCTGGTTCAGTCCACAGAGCGTAAGACTGTTGTTCTTAGGGTTGTAAGTTCAAGCCCCACATTGGATGTAGAGATTACTTCATAAAATCTTGAAAGAAAGAAGAAAGAGAGAGGAAAGAAAGAAAGAAAGCTAGCTATAGGTCTAACATCATTTATAGGGGTGGACAGATGTCCAGAATCTGCAGAAAGTTTTTATGCAGGGTTAGAAAAGTGATAAGCTACAAATATGAGTTGGAATGCCAGGTTCAAATGCCAAGGAGCACACTTCATGAGAGCACCAGTTTTCAGCATCCTAATGACGATGGCCAAAAAGAATCTAAAGCCTGGTAAAGCACCAGAAGAACCAAGTTTAGACTCCTTGAGCCAAAGACCAAGGAAGTAAGTGGCTGTGAGGGCATGAGTGTGGTTAAGGCAGAGGTAGGAGAAGAGCTACAGATTTTTGCAATGCAGTTTTAAAGTTACAGCTTGAGATAGTGAAATAAGGCTAACACCATTATCAACTATTTAAATATATGGTATCTCAAGAATGCATTGTACTTGGGAAATTCCAGAGGTGTAGTTCAGTAGGCCACATTATAAGATAACCTTAGGGTGATTGTGGTAAGACTATAGAAACCAGAAAATGTTTTACCTTGAGCTAAGACTCAAGACGGTTCTGGTGAAGTTTTATCAATCAACCAGCAATTCTCTGTTGACATGGATCTGTTGTAAATGAGCTTTCTTATTTCACAAGTGAAATAAGCTTTATTTCACAAGACTTACGAAAAAATGTGTTATTTTATCATGGTAGCAACACTTCTGCCCTCATTTTAATTTTATTCCATTTAGATCAGACATTAATATGTTCAGCTTTTCAAGTTTCCTTTTGTAAAATACTTCACTTTTCCTATCTCAAATTCTAAGTGAATTTAAATGAGAACTCTTTTAAAAAAAAATTGCAGAAGAAGGAAATGGAGAAAAATTTGGTCTATTGACTTACCATCATTTTTGGAAAGAGAAGGGAAAGAAATAAGCTACCCGTAGCCCTATTGCTTTAGAGGCTACTGAAGCCAGAGAAACAAAGACCTCTTGAAATGGTGCGGTGTAAAATGCCTATCTGTGGATCATTCCCTCATTGATTGCTTGCAGCTTAACTACTAGCAAAAATCGATGGGAGAGAGCCAAGGTCATCCGGCGTCAGGTTATGGGCAGGAGAGTGGGATGGCAGGCCACCAACAAGCACTGGGCTTTGGCTCTGCTTCAGAACAGCAACCTGACCGTACCCTGGACACATCAGTCCCTCCAGCTCAGTTAATGTAGTTACAAAACAGATGGGGGAAGAGAGGTACAATCTGGCAAGACATGGTACCTCAAGTTCAATATAATTACGTTGCCTCCTGGGACAATGCTTAATGACAGAAAATATGAAGACTTCTTATGAAGTCTTCATCTTTCACCTCCTTGAAAAACAGAAGTACGCATCAAACACTATGTTCTGCAATTTTTTAGATACGTTGATTAATTGAATTTTCACAACTAGCCCGCTTGAGGCAATGAGCCTCAGAGAAGTGTGTGGAAGTCACTGATGAGTGGTTGACCCTGCCCCCTCCCTGCTAGACCAGCACCTTCTGTCCCATTTAGCGCCACCCCAGAAACATCTGGAGATTATTAAGAACAACGATAACAACACAATGACAGGCCAATGCTGGGCTGTCCCCAGGTTCACCAAATCAGACTCTGCGGGGTGGAGTCAGGGCTTCCTTTAGGTTCAGAACTCTCCCAGGTGATGCTAATCTGCAGCTTGGCTTGGGAACCACTGTGTTAGACCATGCTGCCTCTCCAAGATGAGAGGAGAAAACAAGAAGAAAGAAAAAGGAATAAGACTAACATTTATTGAGCCCCTCCTAGATGCCAAGTGCTTCACTTCATCTTATCTTCCCAAACAACTGGAAAAGTATTCCCATTTTACAGATCTGGAAACTTCTGAGTTAACCAGAGACCACAAATCTCAGAGCTCACAGGCGGCAGGAGAGAGATGTGAACCTGGGCCTGCGTTTGTGTTAGTGCAGCACACAGCTAGGTGCACACCTCCCACCCACACCGAAGACTCAAGAAATCAGGTGGCCTTATAAGAACCAGAGCTCGGACCTCATTAGAACTTCAGTGCAATGACACTGCAAGTTATTGAAGGAGAACAAAGAGGCAGGAACACCTGAGAGGAGAGAGGAAACCATGGTACACATCAGACCAGAGACGAAGCAAAAAGACAAGAGGCAAAGGGTGTAGAAATACTAACCTTACCCTTACTGTTCTGATTCTCACAACAACCCCAAGAGAGCAGGAGCTATGCTCCTCTCCCTTCGTTAGACATAGGAGATGCACGAGGTCCTGTGAGGTCAAGCCACACCCCCAGGTTACACAGCAGGTGAGCTCCTCAGTGGGCACTCAAAACCCAGCTCCAGGGTCCTAACCACCAGGCTTCTAGTTGCCTGCCACCACTCAAAGGAAGGACGAGAATAGGATTTATTCTGTTTCATGCGCAGAGGGAGGCACTTTACATTCATTATCTCACAGATCTATGCATTCAGCAAATCACTTTGTCCTTGAGGGGCTAATATGACCTCCAGCTTGGGTTGAGGAAACAGGCTGGCCATGGTTCAACTACCTTGCATAAGAGCTCCTGGATGCCACAGCAGCAGTTGCAAACCCGAGGTTCAGTGTTCGAGCCCTGACTCAGCCAATTCCATATCCGTGTGCCACGAGAACAAAGCTAAAGTTGGAAATCCTTTTAAAATACTAAAGTCGGATGATGGGCATTAAAGACGGCACATGATGGGATGAGCAGTGGGTATTATACTCTATGTTGACAAACTGAATTTCAATTTAAAAACTAAAATACTAAAGGCCCCTCAGTGCATAGGGCTCTAGGAGGAGAAAAACAAAACGTGGGAGAGCATTGAAATGGATTTCCTTATGTTGATTGGAAATTGGTTTATGACTAAGGGGAAACATTTTAATTTTGCTTGGCCAGGGAGGAACCCTATTTTGGCATCAGAAAGTGGTTTGGAAATAGACATTCTAAACAAATACCAGATATTCTTATCTATCTTTACTGATTCTTTGAATTTAGGCACAATTATCTAGAGAGTTCAGCCGTATAGACAAACGCTTCCCTTTGTCCACGTGGGACTTTAAACTGCCAGCAGAGTGATTCTCATTTGATTACACCTGACCTTGAAAACTCCACTGAAATCACTTTCTTTGATCACTCCTTTCACTCTACAAGTGTTAGCACTATAAATTCTATTTTTAATTGAACCTTCGAAGTTACAAAAAATGTTTTTTTTAACAGAACAATGTGGTCTTTTTATTTAAAAAAAATAAATTTAAGAAAATAAGCACAAAAGTAAAGGGGTAAGCCCCAGAACCATTATCACTATCAGACAGCCTTCCAGGTCTTTTAATGCATATACAGACATGAATATACCAGTATTATCAAAATTACTTTCTTTCCCAACTGTGATTAAATTCTTTGTTGGATAAACAGGATTGGTGTATTCCATTCCTGTAGGAGCTAAAGAAGAGATCTTTTAAAAACAAAACATATTTCTGGCCCAAGAAAAGCATAAAGCAGAAACATCATTTTAAATGAGAGTTGAAATACTCTTTTCTGGAGCAGGAAATAGAGGGATCTGATAAGGAGCATCAGCTTATAGCCCTGCAGCTCCTCTTATCGCTCTTACATAGAGTAAGCATTCACTTAGTACTTCTTGAATGAATGAGAAATTGTCCCTTTTTATGGTGGTTTTATTTAGGGTTAAAAAGTGTCAATACCAAGAATAATAGAAACACATGTGTTCACATGTAAACGTTGCAAAGAATGCTCCAAAAAAATGACAAATCTTATCATCATCCACTTTGGATTATTCAAGACAGAATTCACTTCCATTTTTACTGCAAGTGAAATATAAAATTAGTCCCATTACTTTTTACCATGCTTGAGGCTTTGAGACAGCCCCATCGCTCATCATGTGACTTTTCATGCATGTTGTGTGCACCCATGTGTGCTTTGTTCTCTCAAATTGTGAGCTCTGCAAGGATGGGGAGGTTTCTGTTGATTTCTTTTGAATTCTCCCCAGCACTTGGTACATGTTCTGCACACAGTAGATGTTAAATAAATATTTATTGACTTTAGTGAATATTGTGACCGTATTTGTTTGCTAGGGCTGCCATAACAAAGTACTACAAACTGAGTGGCTTAAGTGACAGAAATCTGTTTTCTCACAGTGCTGGAGGCTAGATCTAAAATTGAGGTGTTGGGGTGCCTGGTTGACTCAGTAGGTTAACGTCTGTCCTCTGCTCAGGTCATGACCCCAGGGTCCTGGGATGAAGCCCCAAGTTAGGCTCCCTGCTTAGCAGGGAACCTGCTTCTTCTGCTCCCCCTGCTTGTGCTGTCAATAAATAAATCTTAAAAAGATATAAAAATAAATAAAATTGAGGTGTTGGCAGGATTGTTCCCTTCTTCCCTTAGGGCCCTAAGGGAAGCATCTGTTCCAGGCCTCGCTCCTTGGCTCGCAGATGACTGTCTTTTCCTTGGGTCCTTTTACGTCATTTTCTCTTAAACGTGTCTGTCTCTATGTCCAAATTTCCCTTTCATGAGGACACCAGTCATATTGGATTAGGGCCCACTCCATTGACCCCATCTTAACTAATTATAACTGCAATGATCTATTTCCATATAAGGTCAAATTCTGAGATACTTGGGGTTAGGACCTTGATGTATTCATTTTAGGGGACACAATTCAACCCATAATAGTGTCCTTCCACAGAATCACAAAAATTCAAGAGTGACACCTTAAATATTGTTCACTCGGCCTAAATGATGCCTGAACTCTCCTTGCCCAAGCCAAGAAGAACACGTAGAATTTTAATATTTTGGCAATAGGGCTTTAGGGTTGTTTTTGGTTTTTAATGTGTCTGTGTATGTATGCTTTCCAGAATGGTTCCCATTGCCCAAGCCACAAAGCCTTCAGAATGTCTGGAACAGGTAAGCATCACCTTGGAAAGCTGCTCTTTCAACAGGGTCAACGTCCCCTGGACCTTGGTCCACTGAATGCACAGCCCCTAGTTAACACCTCAATCTCTGGGGGCCGTAAGGCCCAGGAATATGCCTCTGGGAGAGCCAGCCACCTGTGAGTCTGTTAGTTTTTCTCTATGAACCATTTTACTTTCAGTGAGTTTGGTCATTAAAGTTGTTTTGTGCCCCCTCGACCATGCCCGAGGCCCTGAGAATGAGGGAGTGTTGGCCTGCAAGAAAACCTAGTGGGTTTATTATTCTCCAACACAGAGAAACCAAATAACATCATTGAGTGGCTATTGGAGGGGGGGGGGGCAACTTGATTCATGGAGGTCATGCTTTCCCAGGCCCTCTCCACGCAGTCCCGGCCCAGACCAGGGCAGACTTTTATTACCAGCTTTCAACAAATCCCTAGTTTCTTTTACAAAGTAAAACAGATAATAGAGACATTCCCGGAATAGTTAGCTAACTAAGCCGTGCCAGGCAACCTCGAGGCGAAGAAGAACTCAGTGTTTTCGGACAATGACCAATTACAATAACCAGTATTATTTGATCTGAGAGTAATTAGCCGAGGCTCTGTTCTTTTTGCTTCAGTGAGGAGGCAAAAAGGGCAGTGAGGAAACCATCAGAGACAGGGGAAGCAGCTCAAATGTCAAAGAAAAACACGCTCTGCTCTCGCAGGTGGGGAGAGGGGAAGAGATCCCAACTGAACATCTGAACGCAGTTCTTCCCTGAAAATGTGCTAGGGTTTACCCCAACCAAATTTCGTTTGGTATTTTTCATGCTTACTGTCCATGGGCTTTAAAAAGCCTCCATGTAGAGTGAATACCAGAGGTCAGAAACAGAGCGGTGGGCTACCAAGGATCCCTTGTTGGGAGGGACAGGCCTCCTTGGGAGGGGGGAATCTCTACTCTTCCTGGCAAGGTCACGGGTCACCTGAACACCCCCCCTTGTTTTGGAGACAGGTTCCAGGGAACCGCTGTTTATCATTTCACATTCAAGATGTGCAAACTTTCTCTTGCCAGCACAGGCGGCTCCCCCCCCACACACACAGAGATATTTGGATTTTTAGTACTGCCCTAAGGCTTTCTTCCATTTCACTATTGGCTTCCAAAACAAATGGTAACTCCAAACCTGCAAACCATCTTAATACCCTTTGTGGCTGCCGTTGGCCCTGTTGCACAGTTGAAGAAAGTTCCAGAGGCTCCTGCTATCACCATACCAGTCCTTCCTTCTAGGCTGAGCAGGATTTGGATTCACTGAATATCCCTCTGACTTTTCTGATCACACACGAGACCCATCACCTCTGCCCATTGCCTCACCCCAGCTATCCCTTTGCCTTAGCTCAGACTTGGCACTTCTCTTTGCTCACATCTTCAAATCAAGGAGTAATGTCTAGAGATGTGCTGCCTGACACAGTAACCACTAGCTACATGTGGCTATTTAAATTTAAAATAATTAAAATTAAATTTTAAATATAGTTCAATTGCACTAGTCACATTTCCAGGGCCCAAGAGCCACATGTGAGTAGTGGCTAACGTATCGGAGGGGGCAGGACTAGAATATTTTCATCATCATACAAAGGTCTGTTGGATGACACAGATCTGGATTATCACACGAGAAAATTCTTGGCTCTGATCTGAGGACTTTGTCATTGAGCTAACACTAGGTGGAATGTTCACTGTGTATTATTTCATTTATTCCTCACAAACCGAAGCCCCAGTTCCAAGAAGTGGAAACTGAAGCTCTAAGAAGTGAAGTAACTTGGCCCCAGTCACCAGGCTACGTAAGGTGGATCCCAGATTTATCGGGTACACAGGTCTCTGTGACTTTGTCAGCTGAATTGGGTTGCAAGTGTGATGGGTAAAGAGGAGCTGTGGTATCAGTGGCTTTTCTTCAAGATTTCTACAAGTGACAGGACGGTGCATGGGCCATAAGTACACCTTGAGGGCATAGCCTGTGGTTTGATGGTGACCCAACTGACATGGGCCTAGTAAGTGCACACTCACTTGTTAGACTGATTAGAAAATTATAGACAGCTACTTTGATGTTGTTGCTTCCAAGTATAAGACGTATTTCTTACTGCGGGTGCCTGCTTTCCTGCGTCCTAAACTGGCAGCATTAAAAAAGTACTTCCTCTCCTGGAACAACAACAAAAAGGTCATTATTGAAAAAAAAAATGATATTTTAGAATAATGCCTGCAGCTTAGTTAATAGTGTTGTGCCAATATTAATTGCTCAGCTTTGATCATTTGACTATGGTTGTGTAGAATGCTAACATTAGGGGAAGCTGGTAAACATATAACTCTGTGTACTATTCCTGCAATTCTTCTGTAAGCCCAAAATTACTTCAAAATAAAAACAAATTGAAGAATTGAAAAAAAAAAACCCAAAACAGTGCCCGTTCTATCCCTCCCTTTTTCCTCTTTCTATGGATCTAAGGGAAAACAGCCAAGAGCCCAGGGAACTCATGGCCAGCATTGCACTGCAAACAGATAAGACTCTTCCAAGAGTAAATGACAAGAATGGCAGTGGAGATTTTTATACTCAGACCCGGGCTGTGCTGAGAAATCAAGGTTATTGCCTTAGGCCCTGGAGAACCACCAGATTTTTTTTTTTTTTTGAAGATTTTATTTATTTGAGAGAGAGAGAGCGCACGCACAAGCAGGGGGAGCTACAGAGGGAATAGGAAAAGCAGACTCTCTGCTGAGCAGGGAGCCTGACATGGGGCTTGATTCCAAGACCCCAGGATCACAACCCAAGCCAAAGGCAGATGCCTAACTGACTGAGCCACCCAGGTGCCCCAAACCACCAGATTTTAGATGGGTCATGTGAAGGCCAGTGGATAGAATGTCACATAACCACAAAGTCTGATTTTCATTTTTTCTTATTGTTTGTGTTTCTATTCTGGACTTCTAAAATTAAATGTGGATGTCCTCACACCCAGGACTTCCGTTAGGATTGATTTACAATTTTGATTCTTTTTGCAACTTTTATAAGCCACGAGGTCTATGGCAATTCAGGCCGGCTGGAATGAATTTGTTTTCTGTGCACACAGAAACAGGAACTTTCCCAGACTACTGCTGGAAATGGAAACTAGCTAGTACTATTAATCTAAACCTGAATGTGTTGTATGTCCCTCAACCTGGGGATTTCAATTCTCATAATTTACACTAAAGAAATCATTGCACAGATACACAAAGATTTCTCATTGAGGATGTCAGTCACAGCATTAATTAATGGTAGCTTCTCACACCCCAACAAAAAAGAAACAACTTTGATAAAGGTCTGGCTTTGAAAATTATGGTATGCTCACATAACAGAATGCTAGGCAGCTACTAAAATTATATCCAAGAAGGTTGTTCAAAGTCCTGGGAAGATGATCAAGATACTCAAGTGGAAAGAGTAGGTTATATCAGCATATAGAGTATGATCTCATTTTTTTTTCAGTAAAACGAAAGATATATCCACTTAAAGGACTAAAGAAGAAAAACTGAACAACAAAGCAATAGTGATTATCTTTGAGTGAAGGGGGTTATCTCAGAGTGATGAAATAGTTTTAATTTTCCTTCTCTGTTTTTTTCTAAGTGTTCTTTTTTTTTAAAGATTTTATTTATATATTTGAGAGAGAGAGAGAGATACAAAGCACAAGCAGGGCAAACAGCAGCGGGAGAGGGGGAAGCAGATTCCCTGCTGAGCAGGGAGCCCAATGAGGGCTTGATCCCAGGACCCCAGAATCATGACCTGAGCTGAAGGCAGATGCTTAACCAACTGAGCCACTCAGGTGCCCCAGGATCTTTTCTAAGCATTCTACAATAAATATGTATTATGTTGGCAATGGAACACTTCTTGCTTCTAGAAATGTTACTAGAAGGAGGGGATCATCAGAGGATTTTTTTGTCTTTATTAACAGACTCTCATTAATTGGGTGGGTAGGTTCTCCTAACTGCAAGATATTCCTGGCACGTTTGGTATTTAACATCACAAGCCTAACACATAATATTTCTTTGTTTTTTTTTTTCAGATTTTTATTAAATTCTAGTTAGTTAACATATAGTATAATATTGGTTTCAGGAGAATTCAGGGGTTCATCACTTACACACAGCACCCAGTGCTCATCATAACAAGAGCTCTCCTTAACACTCATCCCCCATTTAGCCCATCCCCCACCTCCCTCCCTGCATCAATCCTTGGTTTACTCTCTACCATTAAGAGTCTCTTATGGTTTCTCTTTTTTCGGTTTTGTTTCCCTCTACCACATGGTGTTTGTTAACGTTTAGCCTATGTGGAAAGGTGCTGGAGGGCATATTAACATTCGTTAATGTCACTTTTCATGCCAACTTTCATTTCTTTTTTTTTTAATAAAGATTTTTTTATTTTAATTTTTATTTATGATAGTCACACAGGGAGAGAGAGAGAGAGGCAGAGACATAGGCAGAGGGAGAAGCAGGCTCCATGCACCGGGAGCCTGACGTGGGATTCGATCCTGGGTCTCCAGGATCGCGCCCTGGGCCAAAGGCAGGCGCCAAACCGCTGCGCCACCCAGGGATCCCCCAACTTTCATTTCTAAGGTAGTGATTATAACCAGTAAAGGACTGTTCTAGCAAGAGTTAGAGAAGGTGGCAAATTGTAGAAATGTGATGATAAAAGCAGTGGATAGTAATCAAGATTATTGATGGCAGAAGCAGAACAATACAAACATGGAAGTAAATTAACATTTTGTGCCCAAAGAAGCAATATTTGTGCTCTTGAGGCTCTTCCCTCAGATCCCAAATAAGAGTACGATATGCCAATCACAAGGTAGAGATCATCAGGACTCTTGTCCGGATTGGGTGGTCCCACTACGAGTGCTGCTAGTAAAGGCTCGTATTCAGGAGGGCACAGACTTGGCTTATCCTAGGAAGACTGAAATGAACTTGGCTCATGGGAGGAATTTGCTGGAGGAATGGGTGGTCAGCAATTGTAGCCTGGAGGCCATAAGCCTGGAACAAATGCTGGTACCACTAAAAGCTTTGATACAACCTTGTGGGAAGGATTGGGTTAATTGAAAGGGAAATCCTAAAAAAGAAGTTTTCATATTGCTGATGAGTACCTACTCTGCTTTCTTGTATTTGCCTGGTAGAAACGGCCAGTTCTCCTTATAGGAGTCCTTGCTAGTTCTTCCCTGGCTTTCCCAGCCAACCAACATAACATGGTCTAAATACAAGTAGTATGCGTGCCATGCTAACACCAGTTCAAAATAGGTCCCTTAACCTTCCTTATCCAATGAGATTGCAGCTCCTAAGCCCCGCCAATAGGTAGGAATGTGTGGAGAGAACCAACTGCTGACTGGGGAGGTGGGGGGTACTGTGGAGGCAGAAGCTGAAAGATGCATTGCCTCCCCCATTCCACCATCAACACCTATCCACTCATCCCCCTCTGGGGTTTCATAGAGTGGTGGGTTCCAGGCACAATTTCGGCAAACGTTTCACCCCACCCCCTATAGTGAGGGTGGACTAGATAAAAAAATTTTTTTTACAAGATTGGCCTTGAATATCCCTCCAGACTGATATGAGCCCCTAGTGATCTGCACCACTTTCCTCACTCCAAACCCCCATCTCATTGGCCCTGAAAACCTGTGCCTGGGCAGGGCACCCCAGTTGGAGAAAATATCCTCCGGCCTTTTCTCAGGCCACAAGCTAATGAGCAGGCCTCCGCCCCAGGTTGCCTTCTCTTTTAACTAGCCTGGAAATTGGCAAGGACTGGGGATTTGCAAATCTTCCTCTGTCTTAAGTCTATGAAGCAATTACTGCTGAGTTTGAGGTAAAGTTATCTGTTTGTAGAAACAGTTTTATGTCATGGGAATCAGATACCTGAACGTTTCCTAGGTAAATCTTATGCAAAAATTAGGCAACTTACATCTCTGGGTGAGGACTTCCAGCATCACTGCATCATGGCATCAGGGAAGGGGAGGGTATCAGTTTTTTGTCGATTCAGGTTGGTATGTATATTTGACATTAAATGAGCCCATCTATTTTTGCTTAATTGGGGATTTCATGGCCTTGCTATTTAATTCTGAATGTTGGTCCTGTGGTTAATTGTCTCCTGGAATCTGCACAGTTTTCTATCTTGTGACTTTCTGCTTGTAAACCAGACCATGGGCTCTAGAGATGGGTGTACTTAAATGATTGACACCAGATTAGCAAAGACTTCCAAACATTATAAATAAATGGGGCACTTGGGTGGCTCAGTTGGTTGGGCGTCTGCCTTTGGCTCAGGTCGTGATCCCGGGGTCCTGGGATGGAGACCCTTGTCTAGCTCTCTGCTCAGCAGGGAGCCTGCCTCCCTCTCCCTCTGCTACTACTCCCCCCCCCCCCGTCATGTGCTCACTCTAAGAAATAAATATAATCTTTATTTTTTTATTTTTTTATAATAAATTTATTTTTTATTGGTGTTCAATTTGCCAACATACAGAATAACACATATAATCTTTAAAAAACATTATAAGTAAATGGAAAATTAAGACTAACAAGTCCTGCAGGATCAGCCCCTGCCACCCTCCCAGTTTCATGTCTGTTCCCTCCCCTCCTTGGTCCAAGCCCAGCCAACTGGCCTTTCTTCCTCTCCTTAAACTCGCTCTTCTCCCTCTCATCTCCAGGGTCTGTATGAGCACCAGAGATCTCAGCCTACACTGCCTGCCCCTCCCCTGCCCTAACTCCTTGGCTCTCAGCTCCAATACTGCCTCCCCAGGGAAGCCTCCCCTGACCAGCTCTTCCCACTCTAGGTCTTTCTTTTCTGGGCATTTCTTCCCAGGTACTTACACATCTCTAATGATAATTTGGTTAATGTCCGACTCCTCCACTAGACTAAGCTGCGAGAAAGCAGAGTCTCCCCTTTGTCTTCCAGAGCCAACCACCTACTAGCACGTGGTAGTTGCTCAACTAATAGCTTTGGTCATCTCCAAATTTACAGTTCAGCACAGATCAACTTGAGGATTTGTCCTTACTGTAATTTGGGCCCTTGGTTATCTCTTTCTATGCTCCATCTCAGGAGGAACCAAGAGAGCTTCTTGGGTAATACCCTGGGGGCTGAGCTTCAGAAACACTTGTAAATAAAAGTGTTTTCAACCCAAGCTTCAACTTCCAAAACTGCCTCTCTCCCTCCTTCCCCTCCAGGACTCTATGCTTGCAGCCCTTGGAACATATATCCAACTGGGCTTTTCTGCTTGGTGGGCGTGGTCCCTCAAGGCAGCATTCTTAATTACACATTTCTGCTTCTATAATTATATTTCTGGTCCTTTATGTATATATACATGGTCCCCGGAGCCTGTGGGGAAGGCCGAATGAGAGCATACTGTGGATAGGTAAGAGTTCCAGTGTGGTGTGATTTTTCCACTTGCCGTTGACTTTACAAATCCCAGGAAAATCCTACGGGAAACGCTCTTCTAGCCATCTCCTTTCCTACTTTTCATCTCCTACTCTACTTTTCTTCTCTTCCCCTTTATTTTTCAAAAGGGAGGCCTCTGGAGAAACAGTTTTCCTCTTCCACTTTTCCAGGTTGGGCAGGGTTCCCGAAGCTGAAGACCTGGCCTCCCAAATGCTAAAAGGCTTTCCTAGAGACCGCGTCTCTGCCCAGGAAGCACTGGTTCATGACTACTTCAGTGCCTTGCCATCTCAGCTGCACCAACTTCCTGATGGTGAGTGAGGGAGCATGTGTGTGTGTATGTATGTGATGTGTGTGTACGAGCACACATGTAAGTCTCAGGGTCTAAGGGTTTTCTCCAAGCACTAGAAAATGATAGAATTTGCAACCAGAAATGAGCTTAGAGATCGAATTACCTAGAAGAAGCAAAAGGGGACTCAATCTTGCCTGAGTTTTCTGAGTCTCTAAAACTCAAAAGCGCTGGTGGGTTGAGGTGACACAGACCTCCGTCTAATGATCCAAACATTTCACATATACACTCTTAGAAACTGGATGAGATGAAAGTTGTCTCTGTGTTGTTTGTTTTCCCCAGCATCTGCCAGGAGAAGCAAAACCAAAGTTTGCAACAGCCCCCTTCTCTCTCTTCCCGTAGAGAGTAAGATGATAGGTGACATGGGGATGTCACAAGAGGAGAGCTGGCCTGTCTTGATTGGTAATTTGATGCTGCTGAAGGAAGTGCCCGGTGGGGCCCTGGGGGAGCGGAGCATCCTCTCAGGCCTGTCACCCACAAGAAAAGCAAGTTACCCTGAAATCAGCCTTGCTGCCTGGGCCTGAAGTCATCCTCCAAATCTGAAATCTGCTGAGGGATCATGTGGCTGGAGCTCTCCTCAAGTTTCTCAGAATGTGGCCAGGAAGGGCTAGGCGGAGGATGTGGGCAGTGTGGTCGTGGCCTGGCTGTTTTGGGGGTGACCATCCTTAGTTGGGGTTTCTTTGGAAACGATCACCATTCAACTGAAAACAATTTTTAGAAGCCCAAAGCAGGAGAAAAGAAAGCTAATTAGGAAGGTGTAGGGGCTCAGACTGGGGTGAGGGACCAGGATGGCAGGCAGGGGTGACAATGAGGACGGAGTGGGGAGAGCTGCTGCCCAGGAGGCCTAGACATACAGTCTGGCCAAAGTCTCCAGGGTCTGCAAACGTGGCTCCACTCTATCTAGGACATTGTCCTGCCACAGCCCAAAGCTCTTACTTTGGGGCTTCTTGAGACATTTTATTATTAAAATGAGTTATTTAGGATCTCCAAAAATAACCATAATCATACAACTGGGGTTAATGTCTTACTTAACCCTGTAGGAAGAGTTAGTCATTAGGATTTATTAAGTTGCCATTAAGTGTCAAGAACACATTAAGTGCTATAAAAATTGAGGGAATAAAGAGGCTTGTCCTTGACCTCAAGGATCCTACAGCGTGGGAGGAAAAGAGGGTGAGGAAGAGGAAACAGGGCACCCTTGTACACATATTAGCACAAATCATATCTAAACAGCTGGAGTCTGCATAATCAGCTACAGATGTTGAGAGAATATGTATATGCTAAAGGCAGTTCTTTGGAGGAACTAGAATAACTCAAATAAGATAGATTGGACTGGAGGTGAATCTGGATTGGAATCTGGAAGGAGGGGAGGGGCAACCTACAATTCTTATCCCTTTGTACCTCAGGTCCGCCTGCACCCCCCTCTCCCCTACTTCCTTCCAGGTACAGTGTTCCCAGGCGAGGCGCCTATATCCCTCTTAAGCTTTCTTCTCTCGGGCCTGGGACTTCTAACTACCACTTCAGGCAAATGTACGTGTTCAGGAGTGTGTGTGCACACACATACAGTCTCACGTTCTCACACTCATACACACTCACGCTCCCTTCGGTCCACTTAAAGAAACCTCCCTCATTGGCCCTCCTCCAGGATCTATTACTCTACATACTGAGAACCACTGGGGACCTTCAACGTTTCCTAGGCCCGAGTTTTACCTGATAAAAAAGTAATTAGCAAGAAACAGTCACTGTCCAAACTGTTGTGTTGTTAGAAACTTGGGTTTTGGTTCTCCCTGGCCATCTGAAGCAGCAGCACCAACAGGGTGCACCTCTGTACGCGTGTGCATGTGGGCGAGCACGCACACCCATGTGTGGGTGTGAGAGAGAGACCCATCTGTATTCCTTCTCTGTTCACCCAGCCACAGAGCCCAAATCTACTTTGACACTTTTAGAAAAATGAAAAGATGGAATCTTGCAGGAGCCTGCCTGTGCTGGGGGGGAGCCGAGGAGTGCTCACAGCAGGAGGGAAGTTGACTTTTCTTTATACATATAGGGGTTTTTCCATGCAGAGTTTAAATTATGCCTGATAAAAGGAGTTTCGTGGATGTTTCAGTTCTTTCAAATTCTCCTGGCTTCCTCCCAATTAAATGAGGTTTGTCAAAGCCACAGGGCTCTGCTGCTGCTGCCTCGGCCGACAAGCACTTCCTGCAGCGACATCTCGAATCCCCGAGGGAGAAGATGAAAGGGCCAGCGCCAAGAGACAGGGAAGGGGGGGGCCGGTGGGTGTGTGTATGTATGTGTGCATGTGGAAGGGGGCGCAGAAATAGGCTTCGAGACAGACCGACAGATAGGACGTGGGACAAGTAGACAGGGCAAGCAAAGCTATGAGGAAAATAGGAGAGAAAAAAACAGAGGAAGCCGGAGAGCAGCTGGGGCCAGTCTGTGCACTTTGACAACTGGGGCCCTCACTGAGAACACCTCTCTAAGGGATGCACTCCCTTGGCCTGGCAGTGCCAGCTTGCTTTTTCATTGCCCGCGGCAATTAGCCTTTATTAAGAGCCTCCTTTGCAGAGAGAGCACCGGACAGTTATCACAGTCCCCAACCTGCAGGGACACAGAATCACCATCTCGGTGGTGGGCTGCCCCAGGCACAAGAATTGTGCCAAAAGACACATACTCTTGTGAGTGGTTTGTAAAGAGAGTTTTCCTGCTGTAATTATGCAGGAAATTTTGCTCTCTGACGGCATTGCAGTATGGAATCATTTAGGAGCTCATATTTATATCATTTTATTATTCTGGTTTTATTCTGGTTGCAGGATAACAAAGTTGTCACTTTAAAATATATTCTGTTTCCCCTTTGATCTGGGAGATGCCAGCTCTTATTGTCTGCCCTCTGAAGAAGACAATCTGAGCATGAAACCTGTGGCTGGGAAATAATGTGAAGTGTGGAGGGACAGCCTAAATCCCGGGGGAGGAGTGGCAGAGAGATTCCCCACGACATGCAAGAATTGATCCCATCTATCCTTGCCTATTTCCCCAAAGCTGAGAATCCCGTACAACACTTTCTCCAGGTTGTGGCAATAAGCTCACAGCCAGAGGAGAGCAGGAGGTTACTTGCCATGAAAATTCAGGGTTTCCAAGATTAGTTCGCTTTTGGAGCACACTTTTGAGGGGAGAAACATGAATATTAGAATGGCAAGCATGTGGGAACTTCTGCCAAGAGCTGACATTTTCCCTCATTGACTCTTGAACACCTGAAGAAACATTTGTTGATGGAGAAAGTATTGGGAGTCTCTCTCAAAACATACCCAACAGCAAGCTAATTGCTTTTGCAGATGGCCAGGGGGATGCGCTCCCCTCTCGGTCACCAGCTCACAGCCACACTCACAGTCCCCGTGGCTGAGCCAGCAGTGCAGAGTGTCAGCTGGGGCGGTGAGGACCTAAAATTAGGCCCTTGGCAACTCTCTAATCTTAGCTGCAGGTTCAGCTTCTTCGTTTAATTCCCTTTGCCCTCAGAATGAACTTGGGCTCTGGGAAAGGAACACTGTTTAATGATTTGGGGGTTGGGGGGAGTAGAAAATCATTAAGCTGCCCTTTCTAGAAACTGGCTCTGCTCTGTTCTTGCAGGGAGCCTTCCAAATGTTACCCTTGGAAAGTTAAGACTGATTTTGGAAGCTAGCCATTTTGAACCACAGACGCTGATCCACAATTTTTTTTTTTTAATCTGGGGCAGTAAATGCCACGTGATTTAAGAGTCTGGTCCTTAAGCCCTGGTCCTTGATGGTCAGAGCATCAAAGGCTGTCTCTCTTCTCTGTGGGCTGGTCCCATTTTGCTTTCCGAATCCAGACTTGAGTCTCTCCCATTTCTTCCTGGACTAAATCCCCCTTCTCCCTTAAAACAGGTTGCAGCATCTTACAAAAAAAAAATAATAATAATAATAATAATAATCCTAAAACTTGAAACCTTACAATTGTTTCACAAGTAATTTTGCAAAAACAACTTACCAGAGTCTTTCTCATCATCAAATGCTTTCTAACTTGCAGGCATGGAAGGCATGGCACTTGCCTCTCCCATACATCACACCACCCTAGTATCTATACCCAGAAGTTCTTCAGTAGGCCTTATCCCTATTGTCCCATTAAAATCAGAGTGATTTTTTTGTTTGTTTGTTTTGCTCCAATAAGGGACTTTCAGGCCTTCTTTTAATGATCTCTTTAATATATTGGAAGATCCTTTGATAACACTTTCCAAAACTCACTTCTGGATACTGAATTCTTTTGACTTCCCTTCCCCCCAATATAGATTCTGTTTCTCTTCACTCTTTAATCATTTTTGTTTCCTCATTCTATTCTGAACCTGTTCCAATTATTTTGCTTACCCCTGAGACTATGGACCCATGTAGACTCAGATTTCTAATGTTAGTGGGAGAATTCTGTTCCAGTTCATTCATTAAAAATTTACTGAGGATCATTAGTAAGATACTGAGTGATACAAAAATGAATTACTCAGGCAGTCTGTCCTCAAAGAGCTTATAGTCCATAAGGAAATGAGACAAATATACAAACAGCCACAGTTCAAGTGTGAAGTGCTCTGGGTGTTCAAAGAAGGTGAAAGGAACTCCAGCTATGGGCTTCTAGGATGGCTTTGTGAGTAGGCCTTCAAAGATGATGGGGTCTGGATGGTTGGAGAGGAATGTCATCCTCCTCTTAATACCATCTAACATTATAGTGAAGTTGTCCTCTTTTTATTAATAGGGGCACAGTGCTGACTCATATTCCATCATGGTTTTTACTCGTTATTGTATGGCTTCTTGCAATAATTTAAACATTCTTATTCTTTTTTTTTTTTAAGGTAAACTCTATCCCCAAGTAGGGCTCAAACTCACAATCCCAAGATCAAGAGTTGCATGCTCCACAGACTAAGCCAGCCATCTGCCCCAATTTAAATATTCTTTACCATATACTAGTGAAAT